TTTCTTTCGGGTTCCTTCGGCCGCGGCGGGGGCAAGGGAAAAGAAAAAGAAAAAAGCAAGAGGCGTCGGAGCCCCGGCGGCGGCCGTCTCGGTTCCTCCCGCGCGCGCGAAGAGGGAACAAACGAAAAAAAAAAAAAGGAACAGAAAACATAAAAAAATTGGGCGGTCCCTGGCCCCCTTTGCCCGCGGGGGCCTCTGCCTACTTTTTCCTCTTCCCTTCTGGCCGCGCCGGCGCCGTCGACGGTTGCTAGACGGAGGAGGAGAGCTCGAGGTGCTTCGCGCCCAAGGCGTGGAGGTTGTACTCGCCGCGCTCTGAGAACAGGCGCTGCACCCCCATCGCGCACGTCGCATGCGCCACGAGCGCGCAGAAGACCGCCTCGACCCCGCCCCCGCAGCTCTTGATCCGGGCTGCCGGGACAACGACGAAGCGGTTCGCGGGAAACGCGGTCTCGAGAGCCGCGTGGAAGTAAGCCTTTTTGTGCTCTACCCCTGTGTTGTTCTTTACCTTAAAGGAGAGGCTCACTCGGTGCAGCCGCCGGGGGTCCTCGGCGTGCGGGAAATGCGCCGCCACGAGCTGCTCCAGCGCCACGCGCATCTCCGGCAAGGTGGGGCAGCACGTCAACTCACAGGGCATGAGTCGAAAGCAGTTTCGCAGCAGCGGGCGCGGGTTCTCTTGAAGATCGTTGAAGATGCGCTCGACGACGGCGCGCACCAGCGGGTTGTGCGTGATCGAGTGGGGCGGCGGCCTTTGCCCCTGCGGCTCCGCCGCCGCCGTCCCCTGCGCCTCGAGCTCGAGCGGCGCCTCCGCCGTGGCGGACCCGCTTTCACTTTCGCTTTCCGCTTCTGTTTCCGCCGCCGCCGCCGGGGGAAACGGGATGCTGACCATCAGGTGTCCTTTGCAGCCTGTTTCGAGCGGCGCCAGCCACCGGCGGCAATTCGGCACCGTTCGCTGGAGGGCCTCCGCCTCGCGTCGTCGGCGCTTTCGCGCGGGCGATCGCCCCGCGTCCGAGCCCTGACTGCCATCCCCGCCGCTGCCGTTATTATTCGTTTTATTTTCCGTGTTGTCCTTGTCGCCGTCGCTCGTGGTGTCGCTGGCCGCGTCCTCCACCCGGCTTCGCCCCGCCCCGGCTGAGACGTACTCGGCCAGTTCCGCCGCGAGGAGGCTGGAGGTGGAGGGCGCGATCGTCGCTGGGGCCGCCCCGTGGCCGCGCCGCTTCGGCTCCTCCGGCGTCCCTGTCTTGCCTCCTCCCGCGCCGTCCGCCGCCGCCTCGAGGTCGGCGACGAGGGGCTGCAGGTACAGCTGCAGCTCGCGGAGGGCCCTCGACTCCTGTCGGGGGTTCACGGTGAAGAGAAGCCCGGACACGCGGCCGTGCGGCACCAGCATGCGTCCAAGGCGCTGCCTGTGATGCCGCTGTCGCCCCGCGCCCTGCCGGTACGTCGCGTTTGCCGGCATCTTGTCTGCGTCTTCGTATCCTTCTGGCTCGCTCTTTGTTCCCTTTTCCCTTTCCCTCCTTTCCTTTTCACTTTGCACTTTTTTTTTCTTTGCTTTGCGCCTTGTTGTCGGTTGCACCTCCACCTGGCGGCGGGGTCGGGGGCGGGCGTGCGCTTGGGGGAGAAGGCGAAAGACCCGCAGGGCAGGCGGCGGCAGGCCGACGCACCCCGCCACACGGACGGAGCGGAGGCAAACACACACACACACACACACACACACACACGACGAAACAGCAATAATAAGGGAGCCACCGGTCGAGGCCAAAAGAAAAAAAAAACGAAAAAACGCGCAAAACAACCGCCACAACACACACATGTATAGCAGTCATCACTGAAGTCTCTCTTTAACCTTGCGATGCTTTCTTGAATTATTTCCACTTCTTATGCCTTTGTCTTTATTTTCGTGCTTGTTTTCTTCGCTATGCAACGCCGTTCTGCTTTTGCCTGCATCTTTTTCTAATGCGCCGGGGGGTTTGTCTGCGGCGCCAGGGATGGCTGCTGGGATTTGCTATGGCCGCCGCAGTTCGTCGACGCGGGGAGGGCGCCGTCGCTGCGCTCGCGCTGCGCCAGCATCCCCATCGCCGCCAACCGCTGCAGCTTCTGGACCCACCGCTTATTTACCGCGGCGGCGTTGTACACGGTGTAGAGGAGGAAGGCGATGAGGTAGAGGGCCAGCGGCCAGGCCGCGAGCGCCACGTGGAAGCTGTAGTACATGACAGGGTAGGCCAGGGTGAAGAAGGCCACGTGGAAGAGCCACTGGGTGACCTGAAACAGCGCCATCGTCGGCAGGTACCCGGTGCCAAAGGCGGTGACGAGGCGGTAGAGCAGCCCCTGCTTCCCAAGCGGGGGGTGCTCCATCAGCCACGTGTACGCCGTGACGCGGTGCGTGGGGTCGCCCACGACGCCCTCTGAGAGGACAAAGATGGGGCGCAGCAGCTCCGCCTCCGCCGCGGTGGCGCCGGTGACGCGGCAAAACTCCTCGTGCCGCGCGGCGATTTCATGCATTTTCTTGTGATGCTTCTTCTGGCGACGGCGCCGTCGCCCCTCGTTGAAGGCGTGGTAAAAGATTTGCCACGCAATGAACATCGCAAAGTGCAGCTTCAGCAGCGTCCAATACGACACGGCGTGGCGCAGGTCGCGGCAGAGCGTCCCCGCGCTGCAGATCGCATCCGCCCTGTGCCGCAGCGTCCCGCCGGCGGGCGCGGGGGTGCCGCCGGGGACCGCGTCCAGCGACGCGAGCTCCCGCGTGGCGGAGGTGAGGAGGCGGTGCAGCAGCAGCAGCTGCGTCCCCGCAGGGGCGAGGTGGAGGTAGCTGGAGGACATGCGGTCGAAGGAGTGGAAGAGCAGGGAATTGCTCCACACCAGTATGGCGCCCAAAATCGGCCCAAAGCTCCCCGCCACGAGCGCAAAAAAGGAGAGAAAGTCTAGCAGCACCTCGTCCGTGCTCGAGGCCTCCGCCGCGGCGTAGGCAATGGTGACGATGTCCGCCGAGACGGGCTTGTAAACCCCGCCCACGAGCAGCAGCTGCCGCGCCGTAGAGGGGACAAACCGCAGCGTCCAGCTTGTCCACGTCTGGTTGACCAGCGGTGTCGCCTTCACGGCGACGTCCTTGAGGCTCTTATTCAGCCCACCGCCTGGCGCGCCTGCGAGGAGCGCGTCGCGTTCACGCAGCCACCCCGCTGGCAGGTACGCCTCCCACGAGAGGAGCGGCTCCCTCGACCACTGCACGTCGACGAGGCACCAGAGCAAAAAAAGCACGAGGCAGGCGTTGTGGAAGTAGCAGTAGTCGAGCAAAAAGTAGTGCAGCCCCCGCATCCGGTAGTAGTAGTACTTGTGCGACATGAAGAGCAGCAGGGCGACGATGTAGACCCAGATGACGAGGTCGGCCATGTGGCACGTGAGGCCGCCCTCCTGCGCCACCGAGGCGAAGAGCGAGCGCGGACGCTCCTCCCCGCCTCGGCCGTACACGTGCGCCGCACAGGCGCCGCCGCCGCCGCCGCTGGCCCCGTGATTGTACCGAAACGGGCAGGTGGAGATGTCAAAGTAGGAGGCGGCCGCAAGTCCGGCGAAGAGGATTGTGAAGCTGCAGCTCACAAAGTACTCATGCTTTGAAAAGCGGTGGTCCATCTCTGCCCCCCGCCCCTGTGTCCTTCGCCTTCTCCTTTATTCTTGCCGTGGCCCCTGTTGTCGGCCCCTGCCCCGCAGGCGACGCCACAAAAGGCAGCTTTCTCCAGAGCGAAGGAGACGCAGAAACAACCAAACAAAGCAACAGAGAAGGAGGAGGGAGAAAAATAAAAAACCGCAGTTCACTTCCCTCGATGCAGACGCCTCCCTCCAATCTACCCAGGCACGTTTCAAGCGCCACACGATCTCCCCTTCTCCCCCGTTTTACACACACTTAGTCTCTCTCTCTCTCTCTCTACAAGTAAATAATTCAGTACACATGTCATACATATATCTATATATAATGACATATATACTGCATACATAGATAAGTGCATACCCACCTGCTTACGGCAACAGTGGGCGCTCGGCACACATCCCTCCCGGGGCCCAACGGCAAACAGTAAACAAAAAAAGGAAGGAAAAGAAAAAAGGAAAAAAAAAGGGGGGGGGGGGGAAAGAAAGACCAAACAAGGTTGCAACACAAAGCATCGCAAGAACGGGCGTGTGCGTGCGTGCGTACAGGTGTCCCACCACCACCACCACTTTCTCTAATTTCATCTCCTTCTCTTCTCCCTCCGTCTGCCTCCTTTGCGCTCCAACGCCCTTGCGTTTGCTTCAGCCAATGCTGCAGGAGACACGCCAAGCCATGACGCCAAGTAACATCAAGAACCCGGCGCCCAAGGCCATAGGCTCCACCGTGGCGGCCTTCACCAGCAGCACGAGCAGCGCGGCAAGTGCAGTGGATGCCGTTGCCTTCGCATCCGCCGGCATAAAGGCCGTCGTGAAGAGTGTTACGGCAGCCACAAGCAGCAGCAGCGGCTCCCCATGCACAGTCACCGTAGTAAGAATAATCCTCCACCACCCGTTGTTCATCACTACATGTCCGACGCTGTCGGTGCGACGCCGCAGCAGGACCCACAACGTTGCGCCATCGTTCCTGAGGGTAAAAAAAGGAAGCAAAAACGTTCCCATCAACAGCACCACCGCGACGGCAAGCGACTCCCAGAGCCGCTGCGCACACCGCACCTGCACCCGCTCCAGGAGAGAGTCACGGTGGCACGCGTACCAGCGGCCGAACTCCGGCGATCGAAAGAGTGACAAGAGCGCCTCACGCGTGACGGAAGCCGACGGAGATGAGCTCCGCCTCAAGACCGCCGCGGCGCTGGCGGCGGCAGCGTCGAAGGAGGCCGTGTCCGTCTCGTGTGGCTCGCCGTTGGGCGCCCGTTTCCTTCCACCACTCGCGGACTTTTCACCGCGCCGTGGCGGCGTTGAGGATTTCCGCGACGGTGAGGCTCTCCGCCCTGCGGCTCTTGTTGCTGCCGCGGCGGTGGTGGCGGTAGTTCCCGCCGCCGCCTGCTGCCGCCCCCACGCCGAGGCCCGAAACCGCCGCAGCAGCGGTTTGAAGATAAACGCCCAAAACGTCGCCACAAGCGCGGCGGAGCCCAGGGCGCACTTCGCGGCCGTCACATTCCACAGGAGGAGAAGCACACACTCCACTACTGCCAGCTGCATGGACTCGACGGGTGTGGGTCTGTTTTAGCCGTCACACAGCAACGCGAGCCCGCCCCGCTTCGCCTTCTCTCGCAGACAGACACCCTCTACCTCAACACCCCGTCCTCGCGGATTGCTACCAACTAGCTGCCACACACACACACACAAGCACAGACACGACGTCGCCCCCTTCTACCTTCGACGTACGCAACAAAAATGTGTGGGTGTGCGAGGGGGGAAAATATGTGCCCGGTATCTTTTGCGCCTTCTTCTGCGGCACATTTACACAAACACACACACACAAGCATGTATATGTACATGTACCGGACACAACGACGCGGGGAGAAGAAAAAAAACCGAAGAACGAAAACCAAGTCAATCGCACGACAGCAGCAGCAGCCAAGGCACGGACAACAGCGTCCGGCGTGCATCGTCAGAGGGCAGAGGGCACACATGTATGCCCACACTACGGGTAAAAAAAAAGGCGACATTGTGTGCGTCTTACAGTTCCACTTAAGCCTTAAAGGCGCGTGGGGAAAGTAAAGCTCATCAGGTACGTTCTTCTTTATCTTTATTTTTTAAAGCCGTTGCGGCCACAGGGATGCAACTGCT